TAACCATTATCAATTCTCAATACTGATAAACACTGTTGAACTTACCGACCACAAGTACTTTTGTTCCAACATCTACAGGGTTATCAGCAGTTGCAATTTTAAGCAAAATAAAATCACCAGAAGCTAACTTCTCCATAATGAAGTGATACTTTACCTCAACATGCTTAGAATGTTCATGATAAATAGGATTTTTACACAATATCAATAAACTTTGACTATCAGTATAAATCATAGCATCATCATTCAAGAAATTTCATTCACATAAAGGCCTTTCAGCTACATGCATTCTCTTACAACTTCAATTAATGCAACATATTCTGCTTCTGTGCTGGAGAGTGTAACTATAGATTGCAACTGTGATTTCCAAGTGATATAATTATCACCTAAAGTGAAGAAGAATGAAGTGGTAGATTTCCTCCGATCTTTATCCCCCACAAAGTCAGAATCTACATAACCTTTTAGATCTTACTTATCACTTCCCTTCTTAAACACTAACCGTATGTTAGCACCCATTTAAGTGTAGTCCAATGAAGCTTACCTGGGTTTGACATAAACCTACTTAAGAAACTAAATGCATATGCAAGGTTCGATCTCGTGGTAATCATATAATACATCATAGACCCAATGGCATTAGCATAGGGAACATTATTCATTTCATGCAATTCTTCTTCAATTTCAGGGCATTGTGTAGATGACAAATTCATGTGTGCAGCTAATGGTACAATGACAAACTTCGTAAAATTCATACCAAATTTGGCTATCACTTTATCCAAATAAGACTCTTGAATAATAGTCATATTATCAGCCATATTCTTTTTAATAACCATGCCAATATTTTTTTTTTGCCTCTCCTAAATATTTTATGTCAAATTCTGATTTTAAAAAAAGTTTTTCAACTCTATGATTTCAGCTTTACTAGAACTAGCAAGCAACGTGTCATCTACATATAACAATAAATATACTTCATATCCTACTTTAGAGTTATTAAAATACAGACATTCATCAAATTCACTCATCTTAAAACCAATTTTAAGCACAAAAGCATCAAATATTTCATACCATTGTCTAAGACTTTGCTTAAGACCATATAAGGACTTTCTAAGC